AACCGCCGGCACTGCAGCCTGCTCACAACTGCTACATCTCCGTACCGAGACCGCTCGTGTAAACGCTGGTCTCTCTCCGCATGGCAGTCCTCCTCTTCAACAGGGTGCTAATAAATGTTTCTCTCACTCCCGTGAAGCAGTAGCCTGTCTGTCTTCTGGTCTCTCTAAGCACTTTCTCAGAAATTGCTCAGTGTTCTCATTCTCTGTTCTGTAAGCCTTCCCTTCCATTGCTTAGCGTCCTTCTTCAAACCATCCCATGTCACATCCTATACACATCTGGTGTGTTCTGAATGCAGTAATGATGTGCCATGGCCTTGGACTGTGGCTGAAGCTGAACTTCTTGTTGCTTTTGTCTTTTTTGTTTTGGTTGTTTCTCTCTTCCCACGTGCATCAATGTTATATTAAAATGTCGTGGCTTTTTCTTCCTCAGCATCTTGGCAGCAAAATATCTGCTTTAGGTTTTTATAATATCCTGGTTTGACTATTGCAGTGCCATCTTTTCTGTCACTTTGCATTGCATTCATTCATTCCAAATGATGATTGTTTTTCTGTGCTGTCTAGTTCCAGTAATATGGGTGTAGTCTTTGAATTCTGTAATTTGCCCATAATTTTAATTTCCTCAGTCCTGTAGCCTCTCGCACATTAAACTGTCCTTCTGTTGAATGATTACCTCTCATGTCATTCTCATGGCCGCTGTTTTGGTGTTGAACTAGTTCAGATTTCTACAACTCATTCTTACAAATAACTTCTGCCATATCTTTTGTACTTATTTTGTTGATTCGTGTGGAATTTCATTCAATTTTCCTAACCTTTTTCTGCTAATCAGTCTAAGCCTTAACATCTGCGTGTGCTGAAACAGAGGGGAGGGAAGGAAGAGGTTAGGTAATATCTAGCTTGTTACAGACACCATGAAAGAACTGCTGACTGGTGATTAGGTCTTCTTTAACATTATATCCAAGTATAATTAAAACAGTTAATTTAATTTCATCCCCAAAGCTTTCAGTCTGAAAATGCTGATAAAATTTTTAACATTTCTGTCCTTCTTCATCTTTGGGTGTCACAAATTCAGGTAAACTGATAGTTAGTTTTGTTTTGTAGCTGTTCTAATTTTCATAGCTTAAAACTGACACGCTTTGACCTGGCTGTTCTCTTTCAGTGTTTGCTTGAAGTCTGTTGTTTTGATGGGGGTTTTTTTGCTACCTGGTCACTCTCAAAGGATCAGTTACCTGGTGCTGAAGTGGATTTTTAAGAATTTCCAGAAATCTTGGCTTGTGGATGCAAATTCAAAATTTGTATTAAATTGTTAGTAGATTTGAAGTCTACATTTTATTTCTTCTTATTCTATATAAACTCTTATATTATTATTCTTTCAATGTCTGAGTTCCTTTCAGCTTCTCATTAAACAATAACTAACTTGTCACATCATTGTTCTCATTTTCTCCCTAGGAGAAAAGCTCTCTCATCTCCAGTGACCTGTTTTGTTGAGAGTTTACACATTGCTTTTATGCATCAGAGACATTTCAAATAATGTAATGTTCATTCCTGATTCTGCACTTTATTCAATCAGTTGAAATTATCCAGGTCTTTGCTGCCATTCTTTTCACTGGATGGCTCTCTCTTAAGTGCCAGGTTAAAGCCTCAGTTGTTTGTTATTTTGGGAGGGTTATTTTGTGTATATAGAACATTCTGTTAAAGTTAAAATAACAAACCTTACATGAAAAAAATCCTTAGTGCTGTAAGAATGTTTTAAAGTGTGTAAAGAATTAACTGTTCTTACACTATTAGAACTCTTATGTTTAAAAATTTTTAAAAACCAAGTTATTTTGAGCCTTCCATTGCCATCTGGACTTCTCTTGTAGGAGAAAAATACATGTACAGAAGAAAATATAAACAAACCCAAATTATATTAACATATCTATGTAACTATTGTGATTTCTTTATATATCTAAAAATATTTTCAGTAAGTTTGCACAATAATGCTTTCCCTGTGTTGCTCTAAGTACTTTGGTTCATTAACACCTATGGCTGGTGTATCATAGATATTCACATCTTATTTTCAGATCATAAGATTTGTTTGGGGTTTTTTTAAATGCTAGAGAATCCATCACTTGCATTTAAGAAAAGTGTGGGATTGCCATTTATTAGAATTAAAAAGCAGGTCAACAAATAGCTTTTTTAAATTTTTTTAATCTGCCTTTGGGTATTTTTTGCCACAGGGACTGACTCTGACATTATGTGAAAATACAAGGTAGCCAGTGTGTGACTTGTTGGACAGTATCAGTTGCTACCAAAAAAATCCATTGATACTTTTTCTTTGGAATTCTGAAAGAGTGGGATTTAACTGTTCTGAATTTATGATCTCCATCTTATATTCAGCTATTTAGAAAGGAAAAACTTAAGGTGGGAGTAGAGAGCATGGTGAAAAGTGTGATTTTTTTTGTTTTTTTTCTGACAAAGCATGTTACTTGCTCAGTCAAGTTGCTTAGTGGACTCTGAAGGCCAGGGATCACCTTGCTTAAAGCACTGATTGACCAATTATCAAATAACAGCCACATTAATTAAACAGCCTCACGGTCTCTTCCCTGTTTTGGAGCCTCTGTTAGAGATTGCCTCCTTTACCCATAATGATTTTCAAATTCTGTTTGTTTCTGCTTTTAAAATATTTCTATATTTAAATTGTCTGCATAGAGTGCATTAGATGGTATAATTGATTTTAAGTTACTCTGCTTTTTCCTATTTTTCAGATTTAGATGGTGTAATTAGTTAGTTTATGATCATGATGCATAATGGTCAGAAAACCTAAGCAGCAGGTGATAAAAATGAGAAGAGCAACTGACAGTTCTCACAGAAGTGCTGCTACTGCATTGGAGAAAGAGGGATTTGCAAGGGGAAGGTTTATACTGATTAAAATATAAGCATTTGAATCACAGGAAAGGAAAGACTTTTTTTTTTTTAACAGGAGTAAGTGTGAAAGTTGGGGAGGAGAAACCAGATGAAGACAACACAAATTGATTGCTGGTTGGAAGACAGCGTTAGAATGTCCCTGCCTCAGTAACTTTTCCCTCCACAAAATTTCTTGGCAGGCTTCCTCTACTCTGAGGCTGTATTTATACTTGTAAATTAAACATATCTGGAAATCTTCTTGGACACAAAGAACAACTGGCATGAAATGACCCAGATCTATGCTAGTAAATTCCCTTATCTTCCAAAACAAGGCAGTAGGACAGAAACTGCTTGAGGAATGACCTTAGAAGGAGTCCTCACATCAGGCTGGGAAGGTGCCTGGGAGAGTGGTGGTTGTCACAGGCCAAATCCATGCCGGGGACTGTTGTCACAGTAACTAGTACAGGCAACTACACTTCAGTGAATTTACTGCTATTGACACAGCTTCAGGCTCCTGCAGTTATTCTGACTCCCATAAAAGGGTTGAATATGATAAAAGAGGTTTCCTGCTCTGCCTTCCTCAAAATGACTGGGTTTGTATCTTTCTTAAATAATAAGACTATGTCAAAAGCAACAGCAGCATAAAGCTAACCAGGATTGGTATTTTCCTCAGATGAAATTACTGAAAGAATTATCAAGGATAAAATCTGTAGGTGCTAAAAATAAAGGGAAACGGGAGGACAAAGTGGGTGAAGCAAGCCAAGCAGTGGGATTGGTAAGGAACAGTTAATCACAGAGCTGAAGGAGAATAAAGGAGGAAAGAAAAGAAACGTCAGTTCTGAAAGAAATTGGGAAAAGACTCAGAAATTCATATAAATAAAGCTTTTTTCATATTCCTTATGTTATCTCCTTCATCTCTTAAAATTCTGCAGAACTAGAATTGACTGATTTTCACATCCTTTTGTTGGGTGCACTTCATTATTAAAGCCAAGCATTGTTTTTTGCCTAATGCAAAACTAATATCTGAATTTAATATGGGAATAAAGCTTTAAAATCAGAAACTGCTTTGCTTAAAAAAAAGCAAAAGCAAAACCAAACAAAAAACACCCAACCCAAAATGAAAAAAAATCCCCACCAGAACAAGCAAAAAACCCCATGTCGGAACAATGACAAGACACACCTGCTTTTCAAGATCATTTTATCTTTTCAGTACAATGTAAATTAAAGGGGGTTTTTTGGGTGAAAGAAGCAAAGAATAAGTTCAGGTGTGAGTTGCTAATGTGTGGCAGCTGAAAAAAAGGTATGAAGTGCTGCGTGCAGAAGCATCGTGCCACTGCGCGAGGAGGTACTAGTTTATTGTCTAAGATATTTATATATATATCTTATGTGTTTTAAAAAAAAAAACCTTTTTATTTAAAAATTTTCCATTAGTCAAATTGAACAAATCAATTATGGCTTGATATGCAGTCTGCATAACAATTTCCATTTTAAACATACTGAAACATTATATTTTTGTTTTTAGAATATAAACCAGTTGGTAAGATAGGAGAAGGAACGTTTTCTTACGTTCTGAAGACACTGAGTCTTAGCGATGGCAAGTACTATGCGTGTAAACGCATGAAGCAACATTTTGAAAGGTATGCATAATTAATGATAGTACTACAGAAAATCTTAATTAAATTTGTTGGGAAAATGTGAAATTAAGACTAAATGAAGGTTTTTGAATACAAATGTATTAAAAAGGTTTGCATGTAGTATGGAAAGGGAACTCTGCTGCTGGTTATGCAGGGCCTCCTCATTTGGCATGGGGGTTATTTCCTTGAGTGCTCTAATTGATGTCATCCACTGTACTAAATACTGCCAAGCCGCTGGGTTGAGGGTGAAATGAGAAAAATGAGGACTAAATAGTTGATTTCTGGCTTTCCAAATGCACTGAATATACTTGTGCTGTTTCTATTTCGCTGTAAATAAATAATAGGAGGAGGAAATGTGTCAGTCCTTCCCCTGGACAATACTTTTTTTTTCAGTCTTACTTTAAATACTGTTTTAGTGCAAGTTAAAAACACTGTATTTATACTTATTCCATGTATAGCATTAGTTCTACTTCATACTTGCATTTATATTTAATTACACCCATCAGCAATATGCTATTTGGTCACAAAACAAGTGCCTTTTAACAGTTAGGAAAATAGAGGAGAGGGCTGTGTGGAAGTAGACATAGATTTGCCATTCTCTTCCAAATATATAAGTGTCAAACAGTGCCTTTTAGGTCACTGACTTTGCATTCTCAGTTATATGTATTAAGTTCCTAGGAAATCAGTGGGAGTGACATATTTGTACATATGAAGTAAAACGGGACATTTTGCTCTTAGGTGGGATTTCACAGTGTAGCTCAGAGCTTCAAAGACTAAGTTTAAAAAAGAAACAACCCCAAACTCAAATATCTTCAAGTAGTGCTCCTTCTGATTCTGTGTTATGTTGTTAGAGAAGTGTTGGTCCATTTATACATGACCTAAAACTGACCAAATTGTCCAAGTTATGAGCAAAAGAGCATTTAAACTAACTGTTTAACTATATCAGGGGCAGATGGTATGCAGTGGCAGGGCACAACAATAGGCCAGAACAAGCAGACTTTTTTCATGTAACATGTTTAAAACATCTTTTGGGCCTTTAACCCTTTCATAAATTGACCGACAAATTCTTTTGATGAAATCAACTCTTCTAGCAACAGATAAAAGTGTTTTAAGCAGAACATGCCCATACAAGGTATTTATCCTACTTTCAAATTGGAAAATACTGTTTTAGTGTTTAGCTTTAAGTCTCACTGTGAAAAGGCGTATGTGTCCCGTTCAGATCCACTACACAGTGTGCAAAGCTCTTTGGGTCCTGCTTCTTCCCCAGTTTCTGTAGCATGTAGTTTTGTTGTTTATTAAAGTCTAGGAGGGCAATTATTATTTAATTAATAATAATTAAACAGTAGTTACATAGTGTCTATTTTTAATGTAAGAGGTTACCATCAAAACTTAATTTTAAATGTTAAATTTGGTGAGACTAGATTGTCACTTTCAGCATCATGCTGAGTAGTACTTTTGAACAGAATAAACAGTATCGTACATACTGTTATGCAACACAGAATTCCTCCCAGATAGCTCCTTGGCATGGGAACTGAAGTCATGAGCACAAAACTTTACTACTTATCTGGTTTGAGTAAGTCCAGCTACTCCAGACTGCAAGAGGGAGTGAAGCCCTTCTCCCGATCACTGATTTGTGCTATAAAGAAACAAAGCAGGCAAACAGCTTATCAGGTCCTGCATTGGGAAGTTCCGTTACAGACTAAAGTGGAGTAGGTTCTGACGGTCTCATGGCAGGGAAGAAAAACAGTTATAATCCAGTCCCAGACTGCAAGTCAGTCTTCCTCTTTTCTTTTTACTTCAACTTTAGTATGGAACAAGTGAATAAGCTGAGAGAAGTACGAGCACTAAGGAGGCTGAGTCCGCATCCTAATATCCTTATGTTACATGACATTGTTTTGTAAGTATGGTGCATTGATTTCTTTCTTCCTTATTCCTTTATCTGAATGATATTCAGTAACTTTGGGGTCTAGAAGCAACCTGTAGGCACTTCAGCTTTTTATTCCAACAGAAAGGAAAAAAAAACAACAAATCTGTAAAATTCTGAAGTCTTCATGCCTTTTTTGTTAAGACAATCTGATATGGCTCTCACTTTCTCTGGATGTTTTGCAGCAGACCAAAAATATTTCAGCATCAGTATTAGCACTACAGGCTAGACATATTTTAAGCATAGCTAAACTTAATATCATAATATGTAATTTGCTGGTGATTTCAACCCATGTCCCATATCCAGCCAGTGCTTTAACCACACAACCTCATGTCTGCTGCAGACAGTATTTTGGTAAGGCACACTCAGAGCTTATCTGCTGGAAGAGGCTCTGGTTCTTCAAGGATCTTGGTTTGACTTTACAGACACTCCTTTGCAAATAACAGAATAATATTTTTTTCTTGCTCCCCAGGCTGTCTTATTCCCCTGCTCAGGGCTCTGGTACTGTACTCTAGGCCCGTTTTCTACAGATCTATGGAGAGTGGGTAATCCTGTCAGCAGCTTCGCTTTCTGGAATTCTCAGCTTCAGCTGCCCTGTTGTTAACAAAGTGTAATCCAGACGGCCAGCGAGCTCACCTCGCTCTTCCACAGACTGTCTGCAAGCTGAATTGCAGATTCAACCCTCAACTTTTTGCTGTCTGGGTTAAGGGAACGTTGCAGAGGGGATGTACTTTAATGCAGTTATCTTACAAGAAAAACTGAAGACCTAAAGACATCTGCCTCTGCAGGGCAGTGAAATGGAACATAAAGTATCAGATGTATTATCATATCGTGGTAAGACTGGAAACTGCTGTTGTCAGCAAAACACAGATTCCAGTCAGATACTAATTTCCACACAATAGACACTACTGGTGACCTAACTGGAAAGTATTTTCATATATGGCATAATGGCTTTCCTATCTTTTATTGCAAGATTGTATCAGTTAATTTACTGGAAATTTTTTTATACTTAACAGTGTGATATGCCCAGAAAACATGCCTTCAAATAACTTCATGGAGCATCAGTTAACTTTTGCAACGGACGCTTTGGATAGGATAAACTAAAACTATGATACTTCAGACCCCAAGTTGAAAAACTTCTCTGAGAAAGTATCAACTAAAAATGAAAATGTCCATTTTAATACTGGTTAAACTAAGTACTTTTTTCTATGCTGCATACAAATCAACATGTAAATTTTATTTCTAGCTTAAACTCTCCTTGTTTTTTCAGTGATAAAAAAGCTGGCTCCCTTTCACTGATATGTGAACTTATGGACATGAATATTTATGAGCTGATAAAAGGTATGTAGCATATGCTTAAGAAACACACAAACCCTCCTTGTGTAGATCACAAAGTGGGATTCATTATTTTTCACTTGGTGGTTCACTGTTAGATGGTATGAAACTCATAGGGAAATTTTGTGCTATATTGGTTTACTCTTTCTTTCCTTCTTTCCAGTGCAAATACCCCTGCAGAAGGTTTCCAGTGAGTCAGGTCCATGGCCATCTATTGCTACAGTCAAACTTTACATGAGAACAGGGGAACAACCTTGACTGCAAACCACAAAATAATTGCTTTATGTAGCAAAAAACCCCCCAAACCAACCCCTAAATAGGTTCTTTGTTAGGTCAGGACTGTAATGACATAACAAGAAAATTATTGCCCTTTCCCCACCCCAAAAAAAATACTGAATCAATGAATAATGATTTTCAGAGTTTATATCTAGTAAAAATGCCTTTTACCAAGTTTTCTCTATAAAATAACAGTGTTCCCTGAAACCTCCTGTATTTAAAAATTCTGGAGCTATTTGTTGAAGCAGATGGGAGACTGTAAAGCTTGGGGAAGAGTTCCTACAAAAAAGTTTAGAACAAAAGCTGATTTAAAACCAGATCTCATATAGGCACCAAAGGAGCTGGATACAGCAAATGAAGGGACACTTACTTATAATTCAGTATTGAAAGATAATTTTTTTCTGAATAATTAAAAATTTGTAATGTCTTAACAGTTGGGAGATTCATTTAAATAACTGAACATGCAACTGTCATTCAGTGTGGTAGCACAGATAAAGACTCGCTCCCAAACATTACATTAGTGACACTTGAGTATTCAGTTCTCTAACAAAAGCAGTAACCCTCTGCCTGACCTAGATAAGAATTTGAGGTTAAAATACAGTTGTTTGGTGATCACTGAAACAGACACGAAAATTTGCTGGTTTTAATAAGACATTTTATTTTTACAGGATAAATTTGTTAAGTTGTAAAGTCAGAATAATGGCACATAGGAAGGAGTCTTCATTGTTAGTGAGTTAGTCCAGGACATTAAAAACAATCCTCCATCTTCTCCTTCTAAGAAAGATACTGTGCTTCAGCTATGAAAAATCAGAATGTTTAGGTTTGTTCTTTAACTGCCTTTTTTTTTTTACCCCAGAGTATTTGCTTTCATTTGCTTACATTTCTCAGTGTTTCTCTCATTCTTTTCATGTGTAAAAGCCTGCTATATTAAGCATTGTATACAGATGGAAATTAGTCTGATAGTTTCACTATGTTCTGCTATGGTTTTTTATTTTAAAATACAATTTTTATCAAACTCAAGTTTTTAATAAGAAGATTGTTTTCCTGCCACTTAGTTTTAAAAGCTTCCTTTTTTTATAGCATGGTGAATCAGTTCAAAATTAAATCTGTGTTCAATTGTAATCTGAAATGCTGTGGTTAGGGGTTATCTCAACATTAATTTGGGTTTATCGGAACTTCTGTAAATTGCTGGTTCTTCTTTATGGTCTGGATTTTGTGCCTGGACTTTGTTTTCCATAATACAAGGTATTTTTTTCACCTTGTACAAGGTGGTGGTACATGGGGTGGAACTTGTCAAATCATAGAATAAACAGGAAAATGAAGGACAGATTGCTGTGGAGATTCTTAAAAAAGAAAAAAAAGTATTTTGATATTTTCAAGTATTAAAGTATTTTGTTTGACTGAAAACCAGTCTTGCCTTTAGTTTAATCAAGAACAGTTTGGTCATTTAAAGTGGTGAATTAAATAAGGCTCAGAGGGAGGTGGGGAAGATGCCACAAGTGAAAACAGTTGTAGCCTCAGGTGTGATCACCTTACGATTCACTTCATCATGACTTCCAGATTGAGGTTTCTCTCACGATAAAGCTGGAAGTAAAAGCCAGATTTTACTAGTGACCTGTAATGAAAAAACAATTTGACATGGCTTCTTTTTATGAAGGCCTGAATTTTTAAATACTGCTAATAATCCAAGTTTGTTTGAATAGCTGCATTTTATAAAATCTTTCCTACTATAAATGACAAAAATCCTGATGTTGAAACCACCATTTATCTCTGCTGGGTTAATAATACTCCAGTTCCCCATGTAAGCGGTACTCTGTTTCAAGTGCTTTGTTATCTAATCCTGCTCCGTGGTGGATTAGGTGGCTGACTGGAGGAGTGCTGTCATCAGTTAGGAACACACGTCCCGCTGGCTGCTAGGACTTGCAGCCTCAACCAGTTAGTGTCCTGGTAATCTCCCTCCTCCTCCCCAGCCAATTACTCATACTACTGTCATCAGGCAGATCAGTACCTGCTTTGTTTTTCAAAAATGTCATCATTTCTGCCTCCCTTGATGACATTGCAGCGTTACATAAAGGCATTACAGCAAGCTTAAAAGGCCTTTGGAGCCTATAAAAGAAAAAAGCTGAGTAGTTACTGAATGGCTCTGAAAAATAGATAAATTTTATACCTGTCATTATTGCACAACGACAATAGCAAGCTGAACTACATAGGTTAACCTTTAATTTGCAAGTCAAGTGTGAATCAGTCATCTAAGCATGGCAGTAATTAGAGGTGATTGATATGAATCTTGAACCTTAAGGACAGTTACTTTGTTCAGAGAGGAAAACAGTTGTTTAGAAGTGAAATATTGCAGTTCTGTTAGAACCTGGGGAAACAGATACTGCAAGAAAAACCTGCAGTAAAAGCTAAGGCAGATTGCAGACTGTTGAATTGACAGTTGTTAGCTGAGCTATCTCTGGTGCATACTGAAATCTCAATTATGTCTGAAGTTGAGTGGAAAATGGATTACAAAGCTAGCTATAAATGACAGAAATAGTACAATTGAAAAAGGTAATATCAATGTATTGTTGGAAGCTGAAGAGTAATATTTTTGTATTTTGTCGTTTGCTAAAAAGGACTTGTACAACTTGAAATTTAATTCTAGGAAGGAGAAAGCCATTACCTGAAAAAAAAATTAAGAATTACATGTACCAGTTATGCACATCTCTTGATTACATACATAGGTAAGAGACCTGGTTCAGCAACAGCTTTAGAGTAAATGTATCCTACATTTATTTCAGAGTCATCTCTAAGCAGAGACATACAATGGTTTGGGGCAGCAGATTTGCTGCAGGGAGAAAAAAGGTCATTGCCCAGCTGCACCTTTGCCTGTCAGAGCCCTGGAAGGCAGCGAGCAGGCGGCCCATGCTGCGGCCAGCACCTGAAGGAGCTCTAGTACCTGCTGCAGGAAGCCCTCCTGGGAGGGGTGGCCCTTGCAATCCCTTGGCAACCCTGGTGAGAGCAAAACCAGGAACCCTGGTCTCCCCTTCCTGGCCTTGCCCTTTCCCCATGCCCATACCTGTAGCTGTTGCCTCACCATGGTGGCAAAATTCTATCTTTTAATATGCTGTTGGTAAATTTAAAGAAAGTGTTAGTTTCTTTAAGTACTTTTTTTCAAATAACTGGAAGCACTGATAATGTTTATCTTTTTCCTGAACTCTTCTCTCTGGTGTGTTTATATTGTTACAGAAATGGGATATTTCACAGGGATGTGAAACCAGAAAACATATTAATAAAGGTAATTAATTTTATGTGAGAGTATTTAACTGAAAGTGAAGTATATCAGTATTTTTCTCTTTACTCTGAGAAGGTAGTGGTTCTTCATGAGTATAAGTACAGTTTTTAAAAAATAGACAGTTACTTCTAATACTGTATTCATGATCTAGAGGAATGAACAAGCAAGTTTGTTATTGGCTAAAACCTGAAATGGATCAGCCTGCATGTGGTCACTCCAGTCTAAAAACCTGTTCTTTATCCTCTGCTAATATATATTTTCTGTGTTAACCTAGAAATGAGCAATAGGCTTCAGTTCTGCAGCTCTTCCTTTCTATATTCAATTCCTATGTTTAGTGGAAGGTATTAATGCAAAAATTAGCAGAAGGTATTAGCTTTTAGAAGATGTCTTCATTGAAATCTATTCTTCTGACAGTTTCAGAATATTGTTTTGCTAATGTCTGAAAAGCAAGGATTTCAAAAATTCCATTTATGAAATTTTATTTTCTGGAGATAATTTTTTCTTTTAAGTCTTAGAAGTGTACAGGAGACGCTGTTACAGAAAGAAGCCAAAGCCACTTACTGTATCACTGCTAAGCACAAGAACTCTTAAGAAAATCACTTAATCCAGATGTCCTATTTAGCCGTCTTCCCTTCAGGAATAGTCCCCATGCTTTTCAATTAACTCTTAGCTCTTTCTTTTAATGATGTACAGAATGATATTTGCACATATTATGGGATGCAGATATCTTCAAGCCTGGAGCTACTTGCTATTTGAATGCAGTTTTACTGCTGTACTACCCCTGGGATTTCTGAAAGTTTACTCTTAAAGTAATCCGTGATTTTTTTATGATGACTACTTCACACGTTTAAGGAAAATCTTTGCTTGAATATTTCAGTGTTTCTAATTTGTCAAAATACTTTATTTTTGCAGCAGAATACCCTGAAGTTAGGAGATTTTGGATCTTGTAGGAGTATCTATTCTAAGCAGCCACATACGGAATATATCTCCACACGCTGGTACAGAGCACCTGAATGCTTGCTTACCAATGGCTACTATAGTTACAAAATTGATATGTGGAGTGCTGGCTGTGTTTTCTATGAAATCGCAAGGTACAGTGTTTAGTGGAGGGTTTTTCTGATTATTAATCAATCAAATAAAAGGTAAATAACTCAAATAAGGAGCACATGGTACAGGTAACATGATCTTTGTTTCCATGGTTTTGTGGAAGCTTCTTCTGTGATTAGTCTGCAGGGCTCATGAGGCAGAAGTCCTGTCTTGTCCGGAGCTCTCTTCACCCTGTGGCAGGTTAATAATAAAGCAGTGGGATGTTCAAGAGAACATAGTACCAACAAAAAAATATTTACAAGGAAAATAACATTTTTGAACAGTTGGTTGTTTTGTTGTTTGAGTTCCACCCCCCTGCCATTGGCTTCATGGTTGAGTTTGGTAAAAATGTATTTTCTCTGCTTTGTCTCTGAATAGAGGATGGCTCATTTCCTGTCGTGAGCATCACTAACTATCCTCAGTCTTGTTAATGCACACCATTACAAAATTTTTCCCTCTTTTTTTTGACTTACTGTTCTGCAAAACCAGAGGAGATTAGAGAAGACGCTCCCTCTGATTTACTACTTTGATTTGTAATACAGTGTGTTTAAGACCCTTGTGCCGGGACTTTATGTCCTGGAATATTTTTGAGGTCAGGTTCTGATGAAGAGTTCAAGAAAACTTGGATTAAAATCCTTTGAGCTTTTTGATGATGATGAAACTGTAACTCAAAAAAATTGTCATTGTTCTTCAAGAAAAAAGGAAAAATAATCACCATGAGTATTTCTCCAATATCTCTGTGCCCTAGCAACAGCAGCAGTTCTTCTTTATTCTCCTCCCACACTGCTGTCTCTGATATGCAACCAGGAGTGGTAACATTTGCTTTGCTTCTTTCCTCCTCCTCCACATGGCAAGTGCAGCTGCTGCTATCACCATCACATTAAATGACAACCCTTATGCTTTGCCTGCTCACTTGTAGAAACAGTTCTACTTTGGTCAGAAAACTGTTAACAGAAAAATCCTGACTGTGGCAGTTCTCTTGCAAAGTAAACTCCGACCAGAAGCTTTAAAAATGCCATGTATTTCCATTTCAATTTTAATCAGGTGGGCTTTGAAGTCTGGCAAGAAAATTTCACGCTGCAAACTTAAGTTTTCTTAGGGCTAAAAACCTTAAAGATATTTCCTTGTAATTTTAGCTTAATGTAACAAATGTAATTCTTTGCAACCACTGCACACTTTCAGAGACCTGAGAGATGTGTTCAGAGAGAAATGAGTGATGTTTATTGGAAATTATCCAATTAAAAAGATACAGTCTTGCCAAGCTAAAGGAAATTATGGACAGGTTTGTTTCCTTTTAAGTGCACCTTGCAGTTTTTGCTGCTGAATGTTTGTGTAAGCCTCTATGCTTTACACCACATTGTGTAAGAACTTTTAGTCTTTTACTCAGATGTGCTTATCTTCCCAATCTTTTTCTCCCTCCTTCTGTTCTTTATAAATCATGGTTCCTGGATTACATTTTTTGTGGATTGCACAGTTGTTCTTCACTATGTTATAGTCTTACATTTAGAGACAGCTCATTTTTGTAGTTCACACAAAAGCTACTTCCAGCTGCTTGTCTTGATATAGCTGCACAACATGAATCAGATCTCTCCTTCCTCCTCTCAAAAGTTTTATGAAGACATTCAGGGAAGTGTGGAGCCAGCTGTTAGAATCTGCAAACAGTTAAAAGAAGTTTCTCCCATCTACAAAGAGGCTGTTTTACTTCAAGGATCACACGGTGCTATTGAAGTGTTTCTTAAACTATAAACCCAAGGAAATGTTCTGCTAATATGGAAAAAGGCAACATGTGCAAGAAACAGTTAGTGGCCTGAACTTGTTAAGTCAGATTGCTCTATTGATAACAAAGTTTTCAAGGACTCTATGCAAATTTTATATTAACTGAGGATCAAGCCCAGGAATGCAGTTCAAATTACCATCTTTCCAGCAGTGCTGCTTGCAAAGGATCTCTGTGTTAGGAATGGAATGCTTCTTATATATTTCTATGTGCATGCACAACAAGAGGGACTACTTGGCTCTGCTGTCTTAAAATGAGGAAAACACAAAGTCTTCTGGGATCTGCCACTTCACTAGGAGGAAACACCATCCTGTATCTTTTGCCTTTTGCCAGGAGGGATGTTCCCTTTACATATTTTACCCCAGACCTGTAAGGAGAAGGCAATTACAAATTTCTGTTTAATAACCCAAACTACTCTTTCCATTCAAAGATGCAGTTGTATTCATCTGCTGCTGACATGTTATTCTTCAGTTGTTGGTTGGTATTAAAATGTCCACAAATGAGTAATTCTAAAATGTATCTTCCTCATAAATGAACATTTTTTAACTGAAGTGGCAGCTATGCCACTTAAACTAGTTTAATTGTGTCTTCTCTAGTGCCAATACTACCATCTCTTACCTTGCAGTTTTCAGCCTCTCTTTCCTGGATCTAATGAGCTGGACCAAATTTCAAAAATCCATGATGTTATAGGCACTCCTGCTAACAGAACTCTCAACAAGCTGAAGCAGTAAGCATGCACTCCCATAATTATCAATTTCACTGTTTAAATATACACAATAAAGCTGTACAACTGTGTGCAATTTCTGCTCAGGGAACCAACACAAAAATCTCAATCTGTTGTGATGGTTGCTGACCAGAGCAGCATCTTCTAACCCTACCCAGAAAGAATCACGCATTCGTGGTCCCTGTAGGCAGGGCAGAGGAAATCTCAGCCCATATCAGTCTTATTTGGCCTTTTATTTCCATTGTATCTTTAAGGCCAATGACATCACTTGTTAGGAAAGAAAATTTGGTTTTTGCAAGTATTACTTACTTGTCCCTAATAAATGATTACCTAAATCAGATGAGAATAATTTTTTCAGTAAATTGTAATTCTGTCAGAATATGCATGAATAACCTGTTTGTTCTTAACTTAACACAGGTCAAGAATTGCAAGCTTTTCTTTTCCCTTTAAAAAAGGAAAAGGAATACCTCCTCTCGTGCACAATTTGTCTCCCAAAGGCATCTCTCTCCTGTATGCAATGATAAAATATGATCCTGATGAGAGAATTGCTGCCCATCAAGCATTACAGCACCTTTATTTTCAAGAACTCTGGCAAGTGATTTCAAATTATTTTAGTCTTAAAGACTAAAATTAAAAAGTGGGGAGAGCGTGGTGTGATTATTAAAGTGGACTGAAATGGAGTTTGCTTACACTGCTAGTACTTAGCTTGCAATACCATGAACATAATTCAGTCAGCATAAACTTTTGCATTGAGTCCAAACTTCACGTCAAATAAAAGTGATGTTTTTCTCTTTTTTTCCCCAAACTTTTTAGGGCAGCTGATACACAAGCTTTGGCCATGCAGAAAAAATTAAGATTACTAGGAAACACATCACAGCAAGTACCTCTGCACTGGTGGCAAATTTCAAAGGAAAGTCAAAGACAGGTAATATTTAAGTGGAAGAATTGTCAGCCTGTTTAGATAAAGTCGTTTGTGGCACAGAGCTTGTTAGCTAGAAACAAATGTTTTACTTAAGCCGATTACTTGGTTTAATTCAGTCTGCCTAAACACTGATCTTGATTGGGTCTGATGCCGTTCCCCCCCCCCCATGAAACACAGGAGTTAGAATTTAGAAGCTGTGATACCACATAATCCCTTTGGTAGACTCTTGTCATAGTTGCTGTTACTTAAAGCAACAGTTCTGCATTTTTTAAAAAAATATTATCATCCTCTTTTTGCTGTTGGCCTTTGAATTACAGAGTTTTACTGATGAAGTTGAAGCAGAGACAGAAAGTGTGCTTCAAGTCTGCATTTTGAGCAAATAAATTATTTTTTTAGTCTTAATTATCTTGTATTTAGATGATATCTGGGAAAATCCTAAGATTGTATTTGACATTGGAAATCAAAAAATTAAAATCTGATTACAAATTCTGGCAAATGAAAATTTTGTTTATGTTCAAGCTTTGTGAAGAATACTCAACATATTCACTCTTGAGGTTTGCTGTATCTGCAAGGTGAGATAGAAGCCAGTACTACATGAAAAACTCTCAAATACAGGTTTTTTTCAAAAAAACCAAATTACAGTAGGAAAAAAACTTGTAAATTATTTTCTGCTGTGCTTTTAACCTTGAAAGCATGAACTCTTCTTACACAGGAGCAGACACTTTTCCCACCAGTTTAGTTCTGGGGTTCATCAATGTAGGCTTTGTAAGAAGTTCTTTCAGGAAAAGTTGTAAGAAACATCCAGTGAGGCAGTAATTTTTAAAATACAATTAGCTGAAGTAGTATTTGGCCGTGTTATTTTTTTCTGATTATTTAGATTTTCTCTTTTAACTTTATTCCTTTGTTTGTTTTCAGAAAGAAATTGAATCTTGTGTATTTATTTTAAAAGCATCCTCTTAGGAAAGTCCAGGAAAAAACAAAACAACAACATGGACCTCCTCGTGAAGAATTACCAAAATTAAACCTTTCTGGAGTAGCCAAACTGACTTCCTGTCCTTCTCCTACGCTGCATTCAGTGCTCTGGGCACCGAAGGAAAGTGGTGCAGCCCCTGCGTTCCAGTCTGTTAGATTTACTGGATCAAATGCTGAGGTACCGACTCCGACTTGCTCATTAAAATGTAATAGCGAAATATGTTTTACAGAGTGGATTTCAAACTTCCATTGTTTCCTCAACAGTATGAGAAACAGAAGGCACTTAAGTCTTCCCCGAAACATTTCCACTTACCTGCTATAGAACGAAGAGGAGGAGGTTACTGACCACCTTGTAAAGTGTTTGGAGTGTGAGGAAAAGCACGACTATGCAGTGAGCGAGATCCAGTCACGCTTCCGTTGTTACAGATCTGACAAGCACAGCAGTGCCTTATTTTGTGTTTCTCTGACAAGTGGTAGGAAAATCCCACGAGGTTCTGAAGGGCTCCCCCACCCTTTGGGCATTCTGTTCCTGGAGGGTGTCAGTATTTAATTAAAGCATTGTTTTGGCAGAGCTTAGAGCACTCTGTATTGAACTATTTTTTCCTTTTAGAAGGTGATGGAGGAGGAGGTTGGTTAAAAATAACATGAAGGGTTTCTTTGAGCTTCAGTATTAGGAATGGAATGTTATCTACAAAATACAAGTTTTCACATTATGTTATAAATGACAGCTAACTTTTGTACATTTTTTAGATGTAAAAAAATTTGTTTTTCAGTCAACTCTAGAAAGTATTCACCTCCTGCATTAAATAACTTCAACCCCAAGTTGTATTGAGAAAGTGCAGGTTATGTAATCATATGAGATACTTGATTCTGATAGTTTCTGTAGCTGCCAGATATTTTCATATAACTATAATCTAACTAAAAGCTAAAGCAACTTTTTATCTCATTCAAAAGCAAATAAAATTTAGTCAGTTTTCTTCAAGCTATTGATCTTAATATTAATCAAAAGTTTTAACAGTGACTGATACTGCAGATAGTTGCTTAGAAGAGCAGTACAGGCACATATCTTACCATGGCTCAGAAATTTTGCACAGTAACAATTTAATGTTACTGCTTCCTAGTGCTATAAAAGGCAAGAGTGAAAAGGCAGCGTTTTTGGCTTACTTGGGAAGAGTTATTGTAATTTGATACCATTGATTTTAAAACTCCTGAGATCTAAAAATTTGCAATAATTAATTTGCAATACTTAAATGTGGTCATGTGTTACAAAACAGTTTTGCTATTTAAAAAACAAATGAGTTTGTGCAGGTCATACTTAGCTGGGGTTTAAAAAATCTTCTGCCTACCAACTAACTATGCAGGCAAGACAGGTTACAGGTTTTGCAAATAACTTTTGGGATTTTTTTAATCGTTCTAAAAGTTACTCTGCTCATAATTGGGAACTAATCAGCTTTTTCAGCTACTTCCTGAACCAGACACCCCTGGGACTGCCACTGCTGTTTTCTGTGCAAGAAAAAAGTGAAACCCAAGCAGTGGTTGATGAGAGCAGGCAGGCGAGGGGCACCTTGCACCTGAAGTCACGGCAGCACGTGAGGCACTATGAAAAAACACACTGAATAGCGGGTCATGGTAAAGTCACTGAGCCAACTGTGAAGCATTAATTTGAGATTGATGCTCTAAATCCAGACACAGTATTTATTCCAATCAGTTAAGATGCTGCTCAAACAATGCAGCAAAATACACGTTAACATAAAGATTTTATAAAAATACTGGTTGTCTAGAATAGAAGTTATACCTGTTATGCTCTCAGCTCTCCTTCTGAGATTTTATTAGGCTCTGCATTTGTGAAAATAATGATTCTTCTCACTCAGAGATTTTCCAGTAGGTGACTTTTTGTTCTGCTTTTGGTTGGTTGTTTTTTTAAGAATGGGTGTCTCAACACCAGCAGGACTGAGCTGTGACTGCATTAGAGCCGATTCCTTTTTCTACCATTCAGCTTCTGGATAACTTCAAGCATGCCCAAATTTCACAGTGTAACTTTTCAGTGTGGGGAAGCTCATGAGACTCAAGTTCTTTATGAAACCTTTTGAGATCTTCTGCTTAAAAGCACCTGTCTGTCTGACATTTAACTTCACATTTTGAAGGTATTATTTCACACACTGTACTGAGGATCAACATGACATTTGCTAGCAGATTCTTTAAAAAAAACCCGTGAGAATAGCAGCAGGCTAAATGTTTGTGATCCATACAGTAATTTTCTGTTATTGATTGGACTTTGACTGTCCAAGCTGAAGATCTTGTACCTGTATCATGGCCTACGGTATTTTTGCTCATTTTATTCCATTTCTTCATAGCAAACTTTCATTAATCTCAATAGCAAGAATGGAAAAACATCCCAGCCCAGGCAAACAAGGCTGTAGCACAGGAACAAGGCTCTGCAGGGAAGTACTCTGTACTGCTGCTGCTCATCCTAGGTATGGCAGAGGAACAGCACGCTTCTCTTACTCAGAATGAACAAATACATAACCAGAGTTTTAGCTGAGGAAGTTTTTTACATCACTAGAGTGAGAACATCATAATAAAGGGGGGATGGGAACTAAATAGCAGAACCTAAGAGTATAGAAAACTGTTCTTTCTCATTTTATTGAAACTCATACTGGATGGATGCTGTCCTTCCTCACGTTCCAAGCAGAGAATGTGCTCCTGACTGTAGTAAAGTGCAGTGGGGGGGGTTCATAAAGACAGAGTGACTGTCTGAGTTTCACTGCTCTGTTAATCATCCCCCTGGTTCATGGTTTCATGTTAGCAGCTCCTACTGCCTGAACAGATACGGAGCTTCAACAATAAGACAACAGAATATTTGGTTAAATACCTAGTGGGGAAGGGGCGGGGGGTGCTCTGTGTGTGTATATATATATAAGACAGAGAGGTGTGATGCTTAGGAGGTAAGAGGTAAGCTTAGGAAATGGCATTAAGGACTAAAGCTCTCCAGGAAACAGTGTAACAGGAACCTCTGACTTCCTACCTTTGGAACTCTGAGCAAAAAGTGCCATGGGCTTACCCACGGCTTTTTCCAGAGAGGAAGATGGCGAGTTGCTTGGTGTTAATATATTTGGAGGTGAGCATGGTGTGCAGCAGTAAAAATGATGGTCTAAAAATAGGTAACTTGGTATATCTGAGGGATCTTGCTCTCCACATTTATTAATTTTGTACAAGATTTTTTTTTTAAAGGCAAATCCTACTACCCACATTTGACTCATCATGAAGACTCGGAGCTCTCTTGCCTAGTGTTACACAGTAGGCCAAGGCTCCCGATCAAAGGGAATGCTCCTGATGGAGATATGTTAATTGTGTTGGTAGCTTCCCATAATAATTTTTTTGAAACTTCAAATCACAGATGCTGAAGTTTAAGTATTTTCATTCAAATATTTAACTCAAAAGAAAAAAATCCCTCAGATCTGTGTGTACAACATACTTCCCTGTTTTCAAAAGTGTTATTTCAGTTGTTTACTTCTATAATTAATATCAGGTAGGTAATTACATTATTTATACACAAGGAATGTGGTTGTTTTTTTAAAGAAGATTAAGTCAGAATTTTTGGTAAATTTTAACTTGGAGAGAAAAGGGTATCAAGTCTCATGTATGTTACCAGCAATTCTTTCACATACTCTGTATCGGAGGCTGTCAGGCTGTTATAATGAAAAAGGCAATTCCACATTCAGTAGATCATTTTTGCTATGAAAATCAGGGATTTCAAGTGAAGGACCACACTGGAATATTTTCTTCATTTATTTTACACTTTCAGGTGGACCTTACACAGTCTGGCACATACAGTGCTTCACAGGTATTGATTTCATAACAAGGTCTTTGCTGTTTACACCTCTGGACACAACTTAGACTTCCCTGGCTGTTGAATTCATAGGCAAATTCGAGTTTCCCCACCTGCTTTATAGTTAAAATACACTAAACTTTAAACTACAGACGGGCAAGTACTGTTCCTACCCTCATTCTTCTAGCTAAAATTCCATACTGAGATGATCTGTGTTCTGCTCACTTTTCTTTTTTTTTTTAACATACTAGGAAAAAGTTATTTATTAAGAGCTGTATCTATAGTAGAACTCTGAAGTTCTTTCCAGGTAAGTTATTAGTATCCCTTTCTTCCTAAAATAGTTTTTTTTCCATATGGACTAAAGGGTGAGAAGAGGGTAAAGAAGAGGCTGAAAAAAGAAAACCCAGAGGCAGTCCTTGTATGCTGTTCAACTGTGATTTGTAGCAGGGAGGTACTCTGCAAGTAGCTGCTACTATCACCCTAACGTTGGATACTACGGTCCTTTCGGTACTGGTTTTGTGTTTTTCCAGCTGAAGGAAAAAAAGTCTTTTAAAGTTATCAGATATTTTCTCAACTGTTTCATTTTGACTCAGACTGAATGAAGCACTTCTATAAAAGAAGCCTACAGGGAGATAACAGTAGTTCTCAAGTGACAAGGTTTATCTGTATTTTAACAGTTAAACCCACTATGTTAATAAAACACAACTTCTGAACAATAATCCTGCTCAGTTTCAGTATTTTCCCCATTCCTCATGTTAGAAGAACGTAAGTAGATAAGAATTGAAAGTACAGCTCCATCTTTAATAAAGCAGACAACCTAAATGCCAGCTTACAAATGCATCTGGCAGTTTTCTACATTACAGGAATAAGATTTAGCTACAAGCTGCTACTGCAGTTTTTTCCTCCCCAAATTTTAATTAACTTTCTGAAGAAAAATAACTTCTGATGCCTGAAAATGTCTCAAGCTTACTTGCAATTTAAAAAACTCTACCCAGCTTTATTGTTGGAGAGCAGGAAGGGCATGAACATGTGCCCTCAGCTACGGCGTGTGCATACTCGGGCTGCAAGATTCGGCAAAACCCCAATACTGCTACGTAAGATAAAGGCACTGATACCGCAGATACTTCTGTCATTCTGGGGTTTGACACGGAGCAACAACAACTCTGGAGGTGTTTTTTCATCTTTGAGAACTACTGAAAACAATTTAAAGTGTCCTGTTGCTGATTGATTAAAAATAGCATGTGCTCAGACAAGCAGCATTAAACTATACAAATACACGGTCTATCTCCGTAACACTTATCAGTTTAAGAGCACTGAATTATAGATGAGTCTCTGAAACATCTACTCCGACATGTCGACCTAATTTTAGATTGCCAGATCAGAAAGTGTATGTTTACTACTGCTGGCTCTTTCGCTTCACAACTCCCAAGACAAATATATGGGGCTATATGGTTACAAAATCCTTACCCTACAGAGTTGTCTGTCTGCAAGATTTCCGGTCTACGATGTAGTTGGA